TAATATTCAAATTATTCAAGTTCCTTAAAACACAAAGATTCCAAAAGCTGGTATTAAACAATAATTCATTATTTAGAAACTCTTTTATCTCAAAAAGATGCCTTTTCCAAATGATGATTAGGATCATTTTTTAAAAACAGGATTCTAGAAATGTACTATTAGTGAAAGCGTATGATGTTGAATGAGATTTAAAACATCTCTGTGAACATAATTATAAGAAACAAGATTGAAGCTCCAAAAATAAATATACTTGACTGCAGAACCCAGAGTCATCAAAAACATTTGTGCTCTGCTGAAGACATTCTCTCCTAGAGAAAATTGTCAAAAAGGAAATTTGCTGAGATTAAGTGCAAGCATATATATACACAGAGTGCACTAAGCCAATCTTTTCATTTTTTTCTTTCATTATCCATCATGACCACAGTCAAACTAATCACAAGATGAGCCCATAGAATAATTAAGGAAGCCTAAACTAATGGATCACCTATACTCAACCTTATTCATGTTGAACAACTGACATAATTATAATACAGTTTTTTCTTTGTGCTATTGTAGATAGCTGTGTTAGAACTTAAGCACAATTAGCTGAAAGAAACTGAAAGATGTAATAAGTGTAATATTATGCTATGAACTACTTCTGTGTAATTTTTCTGACCTTTAAATAAAGCAACATAATTTGCATAAGTGTATTCTCATAATGGTCTGCCAACAAATTAGATGGTCTTAAAAAAGAAAGTGGCAGTCCACAAGAAAAGAACAAGAGGGTATACGATTCTTTACTGCTCTGGAAGAAAGTGAAGAAAGGTGTCGAAATTTCAATATATTCATGGGAACCAAGAAAAAAAGGTAGTGATTTTTTAAGGCTGAAATTGCACCCTACATTCCCAATTTAATAAAATTAGTGTTTAAAAGTGTTTTTCTTCTTTCAGATAAACTTATTGCAAGTTTCAAAATGAGTGAACAGACGCAGAGCAAGAGAAACAAAATAGAAATTCCAGTACATTGCAATGAGGCCCTCTGCTGGATTTTTTTTTGATACTACATCAAATTGCTTAATTTCCAGTACTTTCTCGTTGTCTTTCATTGCCAATACTTCCAGAAAGCTTTGAGGAAAAAATGACTTAAATCCTTCTACAAAGTTAGTCATTTCCAGAATTTTTTAAAATTAAAGTGATTGATTTTCTGGGTAATGTTATTCTGAGCATAGGATTTGAGCTACATAAACCTCAGTAAATCTCTTAGTGACAGCATTATTTATTTAAGAACAAATTTTCATGTATTTTGTAGTCTATTTAAATATTCCCAAAAAAAGATTATATTCATACCAAATTGTTTCTATAACAACAATAATGTACTCATTCCTATGGCCAATATTTTTTCTTTACTTAGAAATTCTTGTGTCTCAAGAGACCATTCCTACTAAAGTATCTCCATTTCCTGGGAAAAGATTCATGAAGTCCAGAAAAGATACAAGAAGTCCAGAAAATCTATTCAAAACCTCATATAAAACTAAAACCAGTGCCATTTGACTATCATTTTAAATTGCCAGGACCAGAGGTGGACTTACTGGGAAGTTAACAAAGCATAATTTGCTGAAATCCCCTCTCAATGTTGGAAGCAGTGGGGAGTTGTGAAGCATTTTAGGTGGGGAGAAGTCAGACTGCAATAAGGAAACATTTCTGTGTAAGTATTTCTGGTAAATTGCCTCAAGACAGTTTAGGAAAAAAACAGACATGAACCTCCAACACTCAAGTGAATTGTCGTGATTTCTTTTCCTATGCTAAATATGTCATGCCTGCTTTTATATGTTTATGTCCTTTTTCTTAAAGAAGGTCACAAAAAATTGTGTAAGGTCAGGACCCTCAAAATCTGAATCTGGTCTGAATTCTGCACAGTAAATGTCATTTTACTTTTAATGGGGTCATCTATTAATAGAAAAAAATTAACGATTTTAATGGCAATTTTGAAACCAAGATGAAGGCCGGGTTCAGTGGCTCAGCCTGTAATCCCAGCACTTTGGTAGGCCAAGGAGAATGGCTTGCCTGAGCCCATGGGTTCGAGACCTGCCCGGGCAACTTAGCGAAACCTCATCTCTACAATAAATAAAAAATTAGCCGGGTGCAATAGTGAATACCTGTGGTTCCGACTACTTGGAAGGCTGAGGCAGAAGGATCATCGCAGCCCAGCACGTCGACACTGGAGTGGCCATGAGCATGCCACTGCACTCCAGCCTGGGCGACAGAGTGAGACTCCAACTAAAAAAAAAATTAAAAATAAAAAGAATCCAAGACTAAACAGTAGCTTTAAAAGGTATTGGTAAAATACTTCATACAATGTTTAAGGGAAAGGAAAAGAACTAATATCTGCCCAATGGTGAAGCCACGCAGTATTCAGCGGCCTTTAGCTTTTTATATCTATGTAGGGGCTAAAAATACTGGCTTTGAAGTCAAGCTAGTCTGGATTTTCATCTTAAATCTATCTTTCTATATATCTATGCCACCTTTGGCAAGTTAACAGTGCCTTGCAAATAGGAGACATTCAATAACTATTTGTTGAATGAATAAATAAATAATACGTGAAACCCACACAATGTCCAGAAAACTTTAAAAAATATAGTAGTTCGATTTATTTCCATCTTAAAGATTATTCAGGGTTATAGTACCACTTCAGCTGGTGATCTTCCACATTCTGGAGATGTTCACAAAATTCTCTATCGGTGAAGGATCACACAACCACCATTATAAATTGTACTTGACTTTCTTCATAAACAATGCCTTTATTGGTACAAAGAAATATGAGACTTAGAACAAAGTTTTAATATGCTACAATTAAATTAGTTCTAGTGTTTAAGAGGAGATTTTTTTTAATTAAAGCTTTCATCCAAGAATGGACTATCTGTGATTTTTTTTTTCAATACTGACTTCTCTTGCATACAGACTATTTGAATTTCAAAGTTTATGTTAAAGCCATTAACTGAAGAATTGGAAGGAAATGATGCATAATGAGCACTGGGGTAACATCATAAATTCTGTAGTAGATCATCAGAAGGCAAATGTTCTCCAGGCAAATGTCAGCAAAGATGGATGGGTGAATAAAGGAAATGCCATTCTCTCTCTGTTGGTATCATATAAAGAGAAACGACCTTGAGTCAGGCTTGAGTTTCAAATTGGTTTCTGACACTTGTCAATGGTGTGACCTTGAGCTATTCATTTAACATCTTTCTTTGACTTGGTTTCCACTTCTGTAAAATGAAAGGCAGAATCATAACAGCAAAAGTTGCCAGTGGTATATTCTATGACTACCTGCCTGAGGGAAGAGTATACATTTTCACCTGCTAGCGTTGGACCTGACCATGTGATGCATTTTGTCCAACAGAATATGTTATTTGTCACTTCCCTTTATTATGAGAACACCATACAATGTGTAAGAGCATGTGTACCATGCTCTTAAGGAGACTGCTCTTTCAGCTCTCATTCTAGAACAAAGAGGACACAGGAAGCAGAGATGCAGCTGACTTATAGCCTACATAAAACATAAATGACAAATAAGTTTTCTTGTTGTAAGCCACTAAGATTTGGGGTTGCTTCTGTTGCAAAGTCCTGTAATACACAGTTCTACCCACCACACTCATTTGTCTCAACAACACTTTTAAAATATTTTACAGTACTTTATAGCATTCTATGCCCATCCATATCTCAGACTAGCTCCCTCTCTCACCATAAATAGAACGAATGATGTGAGAGTCAGGAAGAATGGGAATAGCTGCTTTCAAAGCCGCAGTTCCCTCTCCTGCCCCTATGCCATTGCCTCCCAAATTTATTGCGATTGCCCCAGTGGCAGTACACTCGGTTCCTAGCCCATCTCCTCACCATATCTCATGAAATAAAATAGTCCTGGGAGTTGTGTTATTTGTGACGTGGGCTCCCTTAAGAGCACTGAAGCAGGGAAATATCTGGAAATGATACAGCTTTTCGCGCTAGTGCTGGTCCCAATTCTTCTGAGAAAAATGCTCAGAATGGCCTGAGTCTGCTTTTCTTCCATATTTTGGTTAAATTTTACTAGAATCCTTCATTTTTACCAGTTTTACCAGAACTTCTCTGTAGACCCCTATTTGTACTCAAAGGATTCCATAAAAAGAATGTAAAGGGGTAGCTTAAAAAATGAAAAAGGCATTTCCATTTAACAGTAAACTGTCCTTGACTAAACTCCATAAAGAAGTAGCCACTGAGATGGCAGAGAAAAACCCCAAGAGATGGCAGGTCGATTCACATTAAACCAAGTAGAGATGATGTTTAGGGCAGTAGGTGGGCCAATGATCAGCCTGAAAACAAGAAAATCTTTGTTATCAAAGCCACCCAGGTCTCCCATTTCTGCATGATGAAGTTGTAGGCACGTGAGCTTCGAGGCATATACACCTCGGCAGGTTTGGATCCCAGCTCGCTCACCCGCCATCTCTGTGCACTCTTGTCACTTCTCTTACCCGGTAAATCCGGGAAAACAACAGCTACGTCACAGGATCACGGTAAGAGTTCAAGGGATTAAGGTGGGTGGAGCACCTAACGAAGTACTTAGACAATCACAGGCTTCTCAAAAAATCCTCGCCGCTGCGTTGGCTGGAAGGCGGCATCCCAAGATGGCGGCGGCGAAGGGGTGACAGGGACCCTCGAGGCCGCGCCGTTGGCCGCGGGGGCGCCAT